CAGGTCTCAGGTGCTAGCCAGGCCTGATCTTTGGGTTGCAGATTCCCAGCTCTAGGCAGGCTAGTCTTTGGTACGAGAGTGGAGAGAGGATTGGAATAAACTGCAACTAAGATCAAGCAGCCTGGCCATAAGGTTTCCTTCCTTTTCCTGCCCATCTCCATCTACCTCCCTGGAGTGGGGGAAACTACAGAACGCTGGCGGTGGGAAAGATAGATTGTTGCCATCCTTTTTGTGCTCACACAACAATTCAAATATTTTCTTATGCTGATATCAAAGTTTGGTTAAAAAAAATCCAAAGGGCTTTTTCTGTGTCTGAAAGCATGTTTGTATTTCTGTGGAATTGTTAAAAAGTATCTGGTGTAGAAAGCTCATGATTTTAAATAATTAAGGTACAAGAACTATTGAAATTAAGCCAAAGAAGGTTTTATCATGTTTTATAAAAATTGATTGTTTATAGGTCTTATGCTGTTATGTTAATGTACATATTTGTATCTGCATTGGATTAGAATATTTGACCTAGAGTTAAAATAACTATGACACATTAAAACTGGTTTAAAAGTAATGGTTTAGTTTAATCATGAGTTTCTAGAGTTATAAAATTGGTTACAAAGTTTGTCCTACCAGTGCTCTATCTGATCTCTGAGACTCTTGGTAACTAAAATTTCTAGGGCTACTTAGTAATAAGTTGTATTGAATTAGTCTCAGATGTCAGCCTGACAATTTGAAGCCATAGCATTGCTTGTCTAGTGCTTGAAAGTGCATGCTATTATTTTGATAATTTTATTTTATGCCAAGGTTTGTCTCCAGGTATCAACCTAGCCCTGACCTGAGATGCTTTCTGTTTCATGGTAATATATGAGTGTTTTAATCTTTTTGTATTTGTGTTTTCCTCTAAATCAGAATTTTAAGATGTCTCCTGGTTAGTTTCTAATGTAAAGTGATCTTTTGCCCAGTGGATATACCTTGTAAAAGCTTTAATTGTGAGCATTTTTAAGCATTTTGAATATCTATGGAACTGATCTAATGCTTTTGAAATAGTACTGCAGAGTACAGTTTTGTCATGTTAAGTGAGATGGTTGGTAACTTGTGTCTAAATTTGGGAGATCACATTGTACATTGTACTACTATAGATGTATGCCATAAGTCAGAAAGATAATGGATGGAGATATCGTCAGTGGGAAGAAAGGAAAGGAATTCTGTTAAAGTGAAATTGATTTTTAAATGAATGAAAGTTACAGAATGTATGTAAAGGAATGTGTAGAAGGTTTGAGGTTGTTCTAAAGAAAAGGAACTGGTCAAACTGTTATAAGAAACGCTTTAAATCACATGCAGAATTCTTCTAGCACCTTTGTGGTAAGATCTATGGTAAAGATGATTGATGGATTATCTGGACTCCTGTTACAGTGCTCTTAAGATCATTGAATTTTTCAAAAGTTGCAGAAATCAAGGGTTTTGACATGGGATTAAAAACATGTTAAACGGTATGCTTTATCTCTACAGATTTTAGCTTCTCTGACTAGGACCCACAGCAAACAGGTGTATTACATCTCTGTGAGTAAAGTGAAATACTTGCTTTTCTCTTCTTTTGTACCTTCAGTATGTTTTTTGATGTTTCATGGCACTATGTTGGTTTGCATAAATCCAGATAAGTCTTTCCTCTCTGTAATAGGGTCTACCCCTCATGCAGACAGGAAAAACCGGCCATGGGACCCCAAAGCCCTCTTCCAGGGAAACAGTCAGGGGATCTGTCTAAATGACAGGAGCAGGGATTTAACAGGTACTGTTTCAAGAACCCTACAAACCTCAGAGCGACCCTAGAGGCAGGCTGGCTCGAGAAAAGACTGGAAACCATCACTGCTATGGAGAATGAGGAATCTAGGACTCTGCAATGACTAACTCAGTCTGGGCCTACTCTCAGCGTCAAGGAAAAACCTGGAAACCAGGATTTCTCCCAGCCCTGAAGAAGGGATGGGATGGATTCCTTTCTGCCAGGACATCTCTGGAAAACGAGGACCAAAGCCACAACCCAAGGGCTCGAGACATCGCGGGACATCTTCTGGCCAGGCCTGGGTAGCTCTGACGTGCCAGATAAGATTAATGAAGATTAATGCCACTATTGTTGTGTCTCCTGTCTTTAGCTGATCCCCAGGACTTCTCAGTAAATAATTGGGTATCCCAAATGGAGAGTTCTCTAATCTTACTGTGTTTATGCAAAAGAACAAGCCAGGTTTGTTAAACTATCTTGCAACGTTTTAAAATGAAGGTGGAGAGAAAACCATGTTTCTGTAACTTGCTTTTTGTAAGAATCAGATTCTAATTCTACAGAGGTGATTGAATAAATGTATTCTAATCTTGATCTAAAAGGTACCCCCTTTGGGGAAATTTAGATAAAACTTAGTTTACTGTCTGTAGGTAAAACAGCCTAATCTGTAAAGGGAACTCAATATTATACATGCTGTCACTAGTCTGATATGAGCATTGAAAGCCAGAGCTTTACTAGGGTGAAGCTCATCTCAAAGTGCAGAATTGCTTTCCCCCGGTCTGAATTGGCCAAAGTGTCGAGAAAGGCATCTAAACTGGTCAAATTAGAGTAGATTAATATCTAGTTCTAAAATACTGTGAATTTTCTTTCTATACTTTATTGCATCTCATTTTCTGTGAACAGTCATTTGGAGAGAACAAGAATATTATCAGCTCTTAATTTCTGTTGCATCATGGGATTAACAACTCCTGAACCAATGCAATGGAATATTATTAAAGGGTTATGTTTTAACACTAGTGAGAACCATCTTCCATGGGGAGGAACTGAACAGCAAGTAAGATAGAAGTAATTCAGAACTGTGCTTTCTGTGCCATTAATGAACCTAGTGGAAATCCTGAGCCTCCTCTCCTAACACCTGTTCAGCATCAAGGAACTTAGAGGTGAATCGGCAGCTTGACCTTATACAAATGATCAAATGTTCATATGTTCAAGGTATAAATATATGTTGGTTCTCATTGATAGCTTCAGTATATGGGCAGAAGCTTTTCCAGTCTGTACTGAGAAAGCCAGAGAATGGCTTGGTGTTTCTGTGACCATTAGAAAAATCTGAACACAGGAAGTTATATTATCAACCAAACCTGTTTGTAGAGTTAATCCTTTTCATTGTTTTAATGATAGAGATGGGTATGGCATTATGTTGCTTTGGTTTCTGTTGCTTTAACTCTTTTTAAGACCTCATCGAGAAATCTCTCACATCCCTGTTCGAGATAGTCTCCCAAAACCTGAGAGGACTCGACCTTCGACCTGTTGTTCCCCAAGAACAGAGGGCTTTGCTCTGATCTGGTGGAGGGATGCTGTTTCTACGCAGACCACACTGAGGTTGTCAGAGACTCTATAGCCAAGCTACGGGAAGGCCTTGAACGACGTCGGAGAAGCCTGGGAGAATTGGTTTGAGTCTTGAAGATCCTCCTAATTCGGGGCAACAATACCGGACTCTACCCACTGAGGGAAGCTACTTTTAACCACGGGTCCTTGAATTAGGCCCCGATCCCCCCCACGATCTCTAGGATTAGAGATGCTCATGAAAAGAAGTGGGGAATGAAAGAATCCATATTAGGGCATCAAATTTTTGTGTACTTTAGCTAACTTGCAACATTGCTTTCTGTAAAACTGCTTGGCTGCTTTGCACCTGGGGGAGAGGGGACTTGCAAAGTGAACAGGGCATAACTTCTTTCTACAAGATTCAGGTGTATTTACTGTCCCTGAAATGTATTGTCTCAGTAAAGCACCCTGCAGATTTGGGTAAAGGCTAACTCAGGATGCTGGTGGTTGGGGGAAATTGCCCTTTCCTGGAATGTATTGTCTCACTAAAGCACCCTGCAGACTTGGGTAACACAAAACGAGGATGGTCAAGGGAGATTACCTAAGGCTTAATGATTCCAGCTATAACCTTGCTTGTGCTGACAATCGATGTACGTAAATGCTGATCTTTGAATCTATAGGCTAAGGAGTGAGGTACTTTTAAATGGATTGGTTAAGAAAGTATATGCTGTTACAAATCTATTGGCTATGAAATGCGCGGGCTTTGCTGTAACGGCCAGTGAAGGCCTATATAAGATCCCCTTTGAAGAAGTTCGGGGCTCTCAGCCACTGCCTGTTTTTGGGGTATGCTGCGGAGCCCCAGCATGCTGGTCTAAATAAACCCCGTTTTTACTCCTGCAGGAATTGTGTCTATCTGGTCTCTCCGCGCCTCCCAGGGCCAGGGAACTCCCGATCCCAACACCACCACGACTCCTTACACAAAACGTGTGGGCTGGGGGCACCCGCCAGTTCCAAGGAATCGCATCCTTGTGACCATTCGAGGTGCCTGCGTCCCTGCATCAGGACCAAGCAGCAGAGGATGCCCTGAGGAAGGGCAATGGGGTGGCTGCCGGTCTCACCTGCTGGAAGGTGCAAACCGCACACGGGGAGGCCACGGGCACCGCGACCGAGCACCAGACACGAGGTCCTGACGGTGACCCGGGAAGTGCGGGATCCCGGCCCCCTCCCACCCCGCTGCCCCTCCCGGGGCGCCCGTGCAAGGCCGGGGGGAGAGGGGAGGGGAGGGAGGGAGCGACGTCAACCCCGCGGGGTCCAGGCGCTCCGGGGTGCGTCTCTCCAGGCCTCAGGGAGAAACGCGGAGCGCTTCTACGTTTCAACAGCTCCGAGCAGAACAGTAAAATTAAAGACAAATTAAAAAAAAAAAAAAAAAACCTCTGCGTGGCGCCGTGGCAAAGGGCAGCACGGGGAAGGGGGCGGGGCTACGGGGGCCGGGAGGAAGTCGCGGAGGGGACCGGAAATGAGCGCGACTCCCCTGGCCCCGCCCCGCGCGGCCTAGCTCCGCCCCGCGCCGCCTAGCCCCGCCCCGAGCCGCCCCGCCCCGCCCCCGCCGCGCAAGCTCCGCCCTCTCCCGCAGCCAGCCAGCCAGCCACTTCCGGGGTCGCCGCGACGCCCGGGGCCGGACACGGGCGTCTGTCACCCGCGGCTTCTGTTGGGTCAGGGCTGGCCTCGGCGCGCGGGTGATCGATCGCCGCCGCGCCGCCCTCCGTGCGCCCGTCCGCCCCGCCGGCTCGCTTGAGCTCGGCCGGCCGTGTGCCCCGCCCGGCTGGTCCGGGGGTCCCGGCGGCGCCCCCACGGCGGCGGCCCCGCGGGACGCGTGGACCGGGCCCCCGCCCGCGCCCGCGGCGGACGGCGTCATGCGGCACCTGCCCTACTTCTGCCGCGGCCAGGTGGTGCGGGGCTTCGGCCGCGGCTCCAAGCAGCTGGGCATCCCCACGGGTAAGCGCGGGCCGGGCCGAGGCTGCGGAGGGTGCGGGGCCGGGGGGTCGCTCTGGCCCCTCGCAGGCTCAAGGGACGCGTCCGGCGGCGCCTCCCCGCGCACAGCGGTGCTTGGCGTCCCGTTCCCGGTGCACGGTGCACGGTGCTCGGTGCTGGGTGCTGGGTGCTCGGCAGCGGCCCTGCAAGCCGCGGCGCCGCCGCTGCGTCACGGCTTCGCGCCCCCCCACCCCCACCCCGCCACCCAGTCACCCGGGATTGCGGGGGGCAGCCTTGCTCACGAGGAATGCGGACGGGGGCCGAGACCTCCCCTCCAGAAAGTCTGGCCAGGGCCTTTCCCGAGCTCGGCCAGAGGCCGTCTGGGCTTGTGCCCAAGGATGCAGTGCTTGAAAATGAACTTTTCCCCGGAAAGGGTGGAGGCAAGCTCGTCTACGCCGCCGCTGCGGGGCACACGGTGCGCTGCTGTTGGCAGGGCTTGGCACCCGCTGTGTCCTGGCACCTGGAGAGGGGAGATCCGCAGGGGCCAGGCACGCACGTTTCTGTTTCTCCATCTCCCAGCGGCGGGGCGTTGGCGGGGACTGTGCCCGAGCTGTGGTCTGGCGCCCACCCTCCCTCCACCCGACCCCCGAGCTGGCGGGTGCATGTTTCTGCTCTCCCCCGCGTGGTGCCTCCCCCCCACCCCCGGGAGAGGGGGAGAGAGCAGAGTGGTCGAGCCCCCCTCCTGCAGGCACAGCACCTCTGCACGCTCTGCACATGCATGCATGCATGCATGCATGCATGCATGCGGGAGACTGTATTTGTGTGTGTGTGCCACGTTCCCCGTGGATGCGTGTAACCTCGAACACACGTTTGCTTCTGCCCTTGCAGCCAACTTCCCCGAACAGGTGGTGGACAACCTTCCCGCGGACCTGCCCACCGGCATCTACTGCGGCTGGGCCAGTGTGGGCAGCGGGGACGTGCATAAGATGGTGGTGAGCATCGGCTGGAACCCCTACTACAAGAACACCAAGAAGTCCGTGGTAAGCAGAATCTGCGCCCTGCGGGTCCACCCCCGCGCGCTGTCAGAAGGAGCAAGTGGCGAGTGGGTTCAGACTCCAAGAAGTTAAGAGTGAAGTCTGGGGCCTGAGTGTGAATGGGGTGGGGTGGGGAGAGCATTTTCCCACCTCCCTCCTTTCTTTGTTCTTTTTAGCACTTGGGTGATGGGAGGAAGGGAGGAGTTCCAGGAGCACCTGCCGCTTTTCTCTACATCGAAAGAGGTTTTGGAAGGAACACGGTTTCAACCTGATGGTTTAAGCCAGGGCTGCTTCAAACTTTTACCATTCAGTGACTCTCTTTTCACTGGAGAAATGTTTTACACAACCCCAGATAGGTGTAGGTATAAAGATGGGGTTCAGGAAGGAATGTGTTATGATGATAGTTTGGTTTGGGGGCCACACCTGGCAGTGCTCAGGGGAGTGTACCTGGACCTCTTAGGTGAGGTCTAGCCCCCCGGAGCACCCTTTCTGGCCCTAGAATTAAGGTTGTCGGTGATTCCTACTTTGAGTTGTGCAGCCGAGTGGGGTCCCCCACCCTCCAGCGTTTTGAAGGTCAAGGGCAAGGCTACCTCTCTCTTTAGATAAAGTCTTCTGCTTAAGACAAAGCCAGGAGGGGACAGCCTGGGAGGAGACCTCACCCAGAAAGGCACAGTCTCCAAGGGTGTTCCATTATCCTCTTCATCCGGCACCTTCCTCTCCAGGGATGCTTGGCTGAGACCTTCAGTGTTTCTTTTGTCTGCGCTGGCCTAGAAACAACGGCTCAGAGTACACCGTAGGCCAAAGATATTTTGTGGGCGGCAGATTTCTCGTTTGAATAATGCCTCTGTTTTGACCCTTGAAATTTCAAACCTAACCTTGGTCTCGCGTTGGGTCAGGATTGAATCTGCAGCTTCGTCGGACAATGTTGGTTGAGTTTTGTTTTCAGGGGAGTTGTGACTAGAGTCACGTGAGGCCCTGCAGGCTGTGTTCCTGGTGGCCTTGCCGTGCTGGGGTCTAGCCTAGCCGCCAGCATGTGCTGTGTCCGCCCTGTTACTTCACCACCCGACCTGCAGCCCTGCCCAGCTCTCTTCATTCCGCAGTTCTCTCAAGCCTCTTGACCGGCCGACTTAATTCACTTAGAGAATTTACTAAGAACAAAAGACTGCTGTTTTGCTTTTTCAATCTGCCTTTATGTTTTTTTTCCCCTTCTCATCTCTCCTATTACTGATTGCTGTGTTTACTCATGTTTGATGTAGTTTTTCAGAAGCACCATCTTATTCCCTTCTCTTTTTCTTTTTATTTCCTTTCAATGGATTTTCTTTGTGCTTACATGTGTACTAACTTAAATCACATATGAAAACCTCACAGATTCAATCTTGATATGCGTCTGTGCCTGAGAGCAGATTAATTTTGACATATTTATCTTTTAAGTCATGTAGAAAATGAAAGGTGGGGTTTTAAACCAAATTACAGTAATTTTCATAACTGCCTATATGTTTATAGCCTTCAACTGAAGATAAAAGTTAATGTAGTTCATTAACTGCTTAATTATGTGGTTGCCCTATTAAGATATAATTGCTTATTACATAGATGGTGCTTTCTGATAAAATTACAAGACAATGCTTTTGTTTTTCTTTTAAACACTTGGAGGGGATATTCTTCTGCTCGACTTTTTACCCCCCTCCAGTCACCAACACACCCTAAAGTGCTTGATCTGCTTAGACGAATCTTTGGTTAGTTCAAGCTTGTGGCCAAAACAATTATAGTTGATCTAAATTTTATCCTCTTCGAAAAGTTTATAGACGTGGGTCCCAGTTGGAAAATCCCAATGCTCGTATAAGCAGGAGAAAAGGTCTGGAACTTTTTCATTGCTGGCTCAGTATTTCTCTTATTTTTGCAGATTCTGTCTTGATTTAACATGAGTTTAAAATTTAAAATTCAGGGATACAGCATACCTCTCTACGGGCCTGGTTTCCCCCATACCTACCACCAAAGTCAGCGCCATCCAACTACCGAAAAGACTCCAGCTCCTTCCCTCCCCATCCACTCCTGACTGACTTATCTAGTTTATGCTTACTACGTTGGCTTGTCCATAAAAGATTTTCTTTACTCTGAGCTGATTGGCTGATCTGTGGTTTGCAGGCCACCAGAGTGTTGCTCAGGGACTCTGTGAGTCTTTGCTCCCTGGGGACCCTGCAGTGCTGGGGAATCTAACCAGAGCCTCCTGCATGCAAAGCAGGTGCCCAGCCCATTGCTGGACTGTCTCCAGTCTCTCTTTGCTGATTTTCTTATAAAATTCTCTGGCTGTACTCTTGGCTGATTTGTGATCGAAGCTTCCATTTCAAGGATCATTTTGGTTGGTATCTACCAATCAAGTCAAACTTACAAAGTGTACCTCCAGGATCAAATTTTATTTATATTGAAACTAAATTCACAGTGCAGCTCTCCCACACCAGACTCTATCTTTGTTTGGTCTTGTCATTGGATTTCTGTCTTGAATATTGATTTTACGTTTTAATTTTAACCATTTTAACCCCTTCCTTCTGTCACTGCCACTGCTGCTACCTCTTGAGTGTCCTGCAGTTCCCTGCTGGGCTGCGGTGCTCACATCACAGACACGCTGCTTGGTGGCAGTGCAGTCGCACACTTGTGCCAGGGAAAGGCACCAGTGATTCTGGCCTTGCTGGTGATCACACTTGAGAATGTGACACTTACCAGGAATTGGATGCACGTGAATGCATGTGTGGCTCCATCTCTCGGACCCTCGCCTAGTTCCTATTTAAATCCAGATTTTTTTTTTTTTTTTTGCTTTTTGGGTCACGCCCGGCCATGCACAGGGGTTACTCCTGGCTCTGTACTCAGGAATTACCCCTGGCAGTGCTCAGGGGACCTTATGGGATGCTGGGAATCGAACCCGGGTTGGGCACGTGCAAGGCAAACGCCCTACCCGCTGTGCTATTGCTCCAGCCCCAAATCCAGATTGTTTTGATCTTTTCTTACTGATCACTTCCAAGTGTGGCCCCAAAGCAAACAAACAAGTTCAGATTCTATTACTTTATTTACTCCCGTACTGTTTTGCTTTAAGTCCCGGTACCCTTTGTTCCGTTTTCTAACCAAAGACCTGCATTGGCTTGTCTGTCCCTTAATCACTTGGCCTAACGCTCAGATTTCCATAAACTGGTATAGGAAGAGAAACATGGGTCGTGATTTTCCTGACAACTAGTTCTTCTTAGGGATGACATCTGATACTTTGCTTATTTCCTCCTTGTTGCCTTTGGTTGGTTAATATTCTTCACTTTGAAAAAAATTTTAATTCCTTTGCTACAAGTGAGTTCCCCAACCTCTCCCCTGCACCCCTGTAATATGGGGTTGGAGAGACAGAACATAGGTCAGTATGTTTGTTTCTTTGCACTTGGCTGGACCATTTTCAATCTCCAGCACCACATATGGTCCCCTAAGCACTGCCAGAAGTGGTTCCTGAGCACTAAAAACCAAACCAAAAATTTTTTTTTCTATAAACAATAAAGATATATGGTGTTGTATCTACTACTTCACTCAGAATAAAATGTTTTCATATCAGGTTAGGAACAGGAGCAAGGAAAATTCAGGAAAATTGCACCAAGATTTTCACCTCTCTTCAAAACTTTAATGAGAATTGATTATCTCAAGTTGCCTGCCATAAACGGGAAGATAAATTTCAAATTTTAGGTACTTAGTATTCCAGTCATAATCTTTAACATTTCTTAACTGCAGGAAACTCATATCATGCACACCTTCAAAGAGGATTTCTATGGAGAAATCCTCAACGTGGCCATCGTCAGCTACCTCAGACCAGAAAAGAACTTTGATTCTTTAGGTAAGTATCGCCTTTATTATTTTCTTACCCACTCACCATGTTGTTTTCTATCTTAATGCCTTCATCACCACTGCACCAAACCTTACTCTGATTGCCTGGTGTTGTACTGTGTTGCTTATATCACTCCTACTAATAATTTGAATGGCATGACATACAGTATTTGAGTACTTACAGTGTGCCAGGCATTAGAAAATGCCTTCCATGAAGGAACTTGTTTCATCCCTACCATATAATGAGTGAAGTTTCCCATGCCACACATTAGGAAGTAGACGGAGATTAAAGACATTATTAATGTAGTATGATAGCTTTAATTTTTATGTCGTTTCTTTTACAAGATTGACAAGAATATCGGATATTTGCTTCTTGCATTTTTTTAAAATTGAAATATGAATTTTTGCTAGTCCTTAATAAATTGTAACATTAGTTATTTCCTTTGTATTAGTTTTTTTTTAATGATCATTCCCTGCTATATCTTTCTGCAGAATCACTGATTTCAGCAATTCAAGCCGATATTGAGGAAGCCAAGAAACGACTAGATTTACCAGAACATTTGAAACTCAAAGAAGACAATTTCTTCCAGGTTCCTAAAGGCAAAATAATGAATGGCCACTGATGAAAATCATTTATTCATTCACTGTTTTCTAGTATTTTGCTGCTCATACTATGCAGTTTCATCGACATATATTTTATAAATCAGACCTATTCCTGCAACTGTGGATTAGTTTAAACAGTACAGTATAGTATAGCTACCATATTACACTTCAGCTGTTAAATTAAACCCACCAGGCTATTCTACTAAAAAAGATTCATTTTAAGAATCAGAACTCTTTTTTTTATGTCTTATGTTGATTAGAATGTACTAGTAGAAACATCTTCCATATTTTCTAATAAAATGGAATGTATGTAAGTTTGGGTGAAAGGGCTGATCACTAGTTTGAGATGAAACTATTTTCATGGTAAATTACTAGAATGTATGTATTTGGATAGCATGTGCTGTTGAACAGAGAAGACTTATGAAAGCAAATTAATAGATGATAGTTTGTTATAAATCTAGTAGGAATAATCCAAACTGTACTTTTGATGTTTTTGACATTAACGTATTATTACAACCTGAGGAATGGTGGTTTCATTTTAGTTAGTTTCTTTTATGAGATCAAATCATTGTTCTGTGTTCCACTTTGACAGTTGCCTCAAATCTTAATGTAGATTGCCTCTGCCTGTTCTTGTTTGTCTTTTAAAACAGTAAAATGAATACCTTCCAAATCTCTTTTTAAGTCTCGTTTTTGTGTGAACAAGTCTCTTTTTCAGAGTAAGTATTCTTGATCTTCAGTATGTTTCTTAATTTTTGTTTTTCTTTAGACAGTTGTCAGGATGTTTTTGTTTTTCCCACTTAGAATACTGCACTAAACTAGAAGAGTTCACTTATCTTTGCCATTCCCCTCCGTTATAAGGACACTGGTTCCTTGTCTATCTATGTTGCATTTTAGGGAAAAGAAAATCCTAAAACTTCATCTTTGTCTCCTCCAAGTTTAAATGGACATATAGAAGTTCGTTTATATATGCAAGTTTCTGCAAACAAAATGTTTCCTTTCCCCTGAGGGAAACTATTAAAAACCAATTAAACTATGAAATAGAAAGTTATTTATTTTTAATTATGTTCTTGAGCAAATGTAAATGGTTGTATATGCAGTGTAATTTAATGCTAACGAGTGCTTATAGCTTGGGGAAAAAAGGCATACATAATAAAGTTGTAGTTAAAACTTCTACTAACTGATTTTGGCCACTGGGATCTTTTATTTATATTGTCAGAAAGTTGAAATATTTGGCTTCTTAATGAAATTAATATTACTATTCAGACCCTCCTGAATTAGTGCCTTCGAGTACTGCTGACATTAGCACTAGATCTGGTGGGAGTATAGGAAGAAGAAGTATACAGCAAAACCTGGCAATCTACCTGTGACATATTCGATATGCCAAACACAGTAACGAGTCTCACAATGTTACTGGGCCCGCTGAGCAAATCAATGAACAACAGGAGGACAGTGACAGTGACAGTACTGCAACTCTGAAGGAAATGACCTGGATACAAACTGTCCACCCAGCTTTTCAGTCCTTTCAAAAATAAAACAGTGCTTATATTCAGTTAGAATGTTTCCAAGACCCTAACTGAGTTTCCAGGGGAAAACGTGGGAGCACATGCTGGACGAGTGTTCAGTAGCCAAGAACCATCCCCCTGGCTGGCCCATGGCAATGGACAGATGAAGGACCAGGGGAATGGAGAAACACGGCCCCAGGCTGGTCAGTAGGCAGTTAATTTCTCTCTCCTCCCCATCGTTGTCTTTTCTCTCCCTTTACAGCAGAATTGTCCCAATCACCATAGTTCCATTGTCTTAGTCTCCTAGACCTCAAAGTCCTCTACCTCCTTCTGTTTTCTTCCTCTTTCTTGTTGTAGTCTCATACTCCTTTTTTTCCCCTTACGGCATAGAAAAAAAAATTGGAGCGATAGCACAGTGGTAGGGCGTTTGCCTTGCAAGCAGCCAACATGGCCAACCCGAGTTCCTCCACTCTCGGAGAGGCTGGCAAGCTACCGAGAGGATCTCGCCCGCACGACAAAGCCTGGCAAGCTCCCCGTGACCTATTCGATATGCCAAACACAGTAACAACAAAGCCTCCAATGGACACGTTACTGGGCCCACTCGAGCAAATCGATGAACAACGGGAGGACAGTGACAGTGACGGCATAGTTATATAGCAATCATGAAGGGTAGGGGTACACATAGGTGGGGTTGAACATTGTCATAACAACAAACAGAGGTAAAGCCACTCCTTCAGGGGAAGTTCTAGGAGATTAACTCAAGAACAAAATCTCACCTGAGGGTTCAGCACTTCAGATTACTAGGAGATCGGCTCAAGGGTGGGATTCCATCCAGGGTGCATTGCTTTATCCTTTCTTCAGCAAGAAATCCATTTGAAGGATCATATTGGATACTAATATTTCTAGTCATTTTGAATGAACAGTAAGAGATATATTAAGCTTAAAGATTGGCTCTTCCTGGGAACATCTCACTATATATTCCAGACCACAGTCCTCAGGCTAGGTTAGTCTTTTCTAACCCCAGCAGAGTCCTTATTCAGTTACTTCTTTTTGGGTCATGACAGAGTTTGTCCCGTGACCGTGCTCTTAATTTATTATACTTCTTATGGCACTTAGCTTGTTCCCTGTTGATGCCAGGGTAGCTTACAGCTTGCCCTGGGTCCAACCAGCCCCTTCATCAGGACCCTGCTCTTGGAGTGCTAGGAACTAAGGTCAACTGAGGCTTAAGTCAAGTAAATATGAATGCCCAAGAGTAAATATTATTTTGGAGTCAATTAACTCCCATGTTACAAAGCATAGCATGAACTGTCTTCCTGTGTCTATACAAAATGAAACAAAAGATTGCTAAGCCATGCAAATGACATAAAGGAAAAGATAAAAGCAATATAGGATTAATAGTGCTTGAAGGAATTGGGTGTGCCTCAGGGGCACTGTTGTGGGAGTAACTCAATAAACCTTTGGTAGGAGCAAGGACAACCCAATGTTATCCAACACTTAACCAAACCTGTTTCATCTCTCAGGAGAAAACTGTGACCTAAGGTATCTGTCCTTTGATCTTGAATTGGCAGGGAGTGCAGGGCTAATGCTCCATCTCAGTGGGTACAACTACCCAGAATCTTGGCTTGCAAAATGTTTCCCAAGGATGCCAGGGAAGAGGTGGGCGAGCCAGAGGCTTCCATTTTCCACCCATCCTGCTTGCTTTAAAGAACCTGGAAAGGAATGGGGGATGAAGTCACATGGGGACAGAGCCGAAGGGTGGTGGGCACTTTGGTGTCAGGGTGTGCAGTAACTTTGAACATGACTATCATAAACTTTAACACAATTGTATTCATCTTACCTAAACATAATTAAAAAATAAAAAAGAACACCACAGTTGTTTTAGGGCTGGAGCGATAGCACAGAGGGTAGGGTGTTTGCCTGCACACAGCTGACCCAGATTCAATCCCCAGCACCCTATATGTAACCCAGAGCACCACACTAGGAGTGATTCCTGAGCATAGAGGCAGAAGTAAGCCAGATGTGGCAAAATAAATAAATAGAAAAAAGAAAAAGAAAAAAGAAATAGAACAGTTCTCGTAACAGCAGTCTTCAGTCACCACTCCATAGCCCAGCCTGGTCTACTGGTGTAGGCAAGTGGAAAACCACTGGGTTCCAATTCTAGCAGTCATTCCATGAAGTAGTCCACAGGACGGGTGCTGGTAGCATGTGTTGTGTGGCAGTGCAGGAAGGTTGGAGAGGGCTGTCTTTACTGTTTGGTATTTGTGGGCTCAACTCAAGAGGACATGTGCATAAGAGGCACAGTGAAGGTTTCTTTCCTCCTGTTCAATCAATTCACTACCTGCCTCCAGGTTTATATTGTCCCTTAGGGTCACATTCATGTCACCAATTATGTGTTGGTTTCTTTTTCAGTGGTTCTGGTCATCAAACCCGGGTACTGACACATGGAAGTTTTTGTCATCGAATTGCATCCTTGCCCCCACATTTCCATTTTGTCCACAGAATAGATGCACTCCAGCAGGTGCTTTCCTGGAGTCAGTGAAATGACTATAAGTTCTAAAACAGTCACTCCCTCTGAGGTCTCAAGAGATTCATTAGCGAATCCCCAGCTTGGATGCAACTAAAGAAACACCTGCACTCGTTACGAGTAACTCGGGGACGTTCCTTAATTTTAGGGTTCCATTAGGCTTCTCTGAGCCATTAAGATATTTTCTAAGGCAACCCAGGGAGTTTCTATACTGCAAATGCATTTCAATTTTCTATCCATTTCTGTATCAAGGGAAAATTTTCTGAGTCAAAGGAAAATTTTTGTTTAATTTTCAAATCTGTCCCCCAAGTCCAGTAAGGTCCAATATTAATATTCTGAGATTTCTACCATAAATCTAAGCCTGACTAAGTAGACCTGTTGACTGCTGTATCTTGAGTACTTATACTTTTTAGAGGATGAAGAGAAATAATGTCTGGTATTCTCTGCACTTTTGGACAGTATTTCCTTCACTCTTTTTCACAGAGTCTTACAAAGAGATGTATGAGATATCTGTTAATATAAGAGCTTTGCTTAATTGAAGAAACCCTTTTCTTTTGGAAAAAATCTTGGGGAGGCAAACAGTATGGAGATTAGAGTGCATGTGCCTGAATGGGTTAGGACCCTGGCATGACCTTCCAAACATCAAGCATTGTGGGTTGAAGACTGGGAGGTCCCTGAATGTCACTGGATGTGGCCCTGGATGCTCCCAACGCTTAAGCAATATTTCCTCAGCTTTTATCATGGAACTGCTGGCATAGTAACCAAGTATCTCTGGGATTGGTCCCCAGACCCCGTGATTACTACTTGGGAACCCCTTTTCAAAGAAACGTAAGGTCCTAGGGGCCAGAGAGATAGTACAGCGAGTAAGGCACTTGTCTTACATTCGGCTGACCTGGTTTTGATCCCCAGCTCCACTGTTGAGATTTTTCATGTGAGTGATTACACTCCGTTTCATCGACTAATTTATAAACATGAGCAGTTACAGCAACAGGAGTTTCCAAGTGCTAATATTCATACCACTTCATTGTTTCTCAGCTACATACATTATATTTAAAGGAGGAGGAGGGGGAAAGGAAAAGGAGGAAGAAGACGAGGAGGATAAGGAGAAAGAGGGAAAAGGATCAAGAAGGAGGAGGAGGAGAAGGGGGCAGAAGATGAGGAGGAGGAAAAGAAGAAGGAGGAGGAGGAGAAGCAGGAGGAGGAGGAGAAGAAGAAGAAGGAGGAGGAGGAGAAGGAGGGAGGAAGAGGGAGGGAGGGAGGAAGGAAGGAAGGAAGGAAGGAAGGAAGGAAGGAAGGAAGGAAGGAAGGAAGGAAGGAAGGAAGGAAGAAGGTAGGTCTTTGACCCATTTCAGAAGGGAACCAAGCTTGGTTGACTCAGGCTTATCTACTTGATCCTGCAGTTGCATAGAACTCAAGTCAAGCATTTGACTTAGGCATCAAAACGGCAGAAATTTTGCAAACACTTAGGCCTTAATAAATTTTATGTGCACAGGACAGAATAGAATCTCTGAGTCTCTAAGAATCAGGATGTGTCAAGGATCCAGCTCACAAATGAACCAGGTTACAGCTTTCAAGAAGAAGACGCCAGACACCAGCTTGTACTCCCTGTGGTGGCACTGTGTGTGTGCACTGGAACTGTATGTGGACTAGTGAGCTCATCTTCTCTGGTCTATGACTTCTAAGTGCTAATGCTGCACTCCGGGGATTTGTGCGTTCTTCTACTCCACATATGCATGCATGGCTCACTGATCTGTAAAAACATTTATAAAGAAAACTTTTTTTATAGTATGGTAAATGTTTAATTCTTTAAGGAGAACAGTATTTCCATATCACACCCACCATCAAAGTGCCAATATCCTTCCACCACAATCCAGACGTGAGGTTGCAGCATACCCTATGCCTGCCTGCACTCCAAACAATTCCATCAGGTATGGCCCTGTGGACCCAGGGCACAGTTAGGCTTGAGCACCACAGGAAGTGGCCCCTACAAAAATGGAATCAATAAACTCATCTGTGAGTATTAATATCCCATATTTTTCTTTCTCCTCCTGACAGCTTTCACTTAACATGATTCTCCTAGTTCTATCCATATTGTCGTAAAAGGAAAGATTTCATCTTTTCTTAGAGTCAAGTAGTAGTTCCTTG